AATAGTCTCACATGAATAGAACTTATCTGAACAATTATAAAAGAAGCTGTTTATAAAGCTTAAAGCCAAACATTCTAAATGGAAGTTTACTTTTAACCTTTGTAATACTAGATGTTTTTGTGACATATGATGAACCCTACCCAAACCAACCCCATGGTATTATAAGGGTATAATATATGGTGGGGCAACGAAACCGCACTATTTTACAAAGTTGGATATAACTTGGCAGTGTGTGGAAGTTTAAGTAAGCAAAATCCATTTTGGATTATACTGGGTTAAAAATTTTAAAGTAGATGGTGGAATTGTAATCCTTAAAAGATCATAAACATTTGGTTATTTTGGAGTAAATAAGTAAGATTTAGCAACGAGCGTGAGTTTGAAGTTTGGTTAACACATGGTAGGTTAACAGATATCCAATTGGAAACGAGAAACCAGTAGTAAATCAAATAAAGAGCGCATTAATAAGGATATGCTTTGTCGATTTGTCCAATGCATGTGACAGAGTGCGATTGGGAGACGTACTGAAACTGCTGACACTAAAAGGTGAACCAGCAGTCATCATAAACATAATACACAAATTAAAATCTAACAACACGACTATAGGGCCGGTGAAACAGCAAGTGGCATCTGACAAGGTGATTATTATAATTTTTTGATGGATAAAATAATCGAAGAATTGATATCTTTGAACCTAAAAAAATGGGCGAAAAGGCTATCTGCATAATATGCTACGTTGACAACGACGCTGTGATAATCACCAACTTCAAAACCTGCATTGTGGTAGCAATAAAGCCAACAAGCTGTAAGCTAGATAGTTAATACCTACCACCCCATCGAACAAGTCATGGAATTTTCTTACTTGGATTTGTACGCATCAAGCATTCTCGAGACAAAGTGTCTGCAAGTTCAGGCTGCTTACAAGATACTGTTTGGGTTGGGTTGAAAAAATCGAACAATAGTAAAGTACAAATATACAAGATCTGCAGCTAACCAGTAATAACTTACAGCATTGAAATACGCGAGGACACAAACAAAACTAAGACCATTAAGATCCTGAATTAAATACTCCGACATCAAAGACCAATGCGGGCTCAGGACATTGTGGGATTTTAGTACAACTACATCCGTAGAATTTCAGACCTCAAACTGCCGATCTAGGCAGATCACCAAAAAGTTGTGAGACAGCTGGAAATCAACTTCTTAGGAGATATTTCAGAATGTTCTAAAAAAATAGGACGAATAAAAAGATAAATAGGAGGTATGGATTAGGGGGTGTTATTAATAACTAATATATGAAAATTTCATCATGACAAATCATTTTCTTATCATACTAAGATATAATTTATAAAATGCAGTTTTCAATCATCTAGATGAAAATACGTAATGGAAAAATGAATGCATACATAATCATTAATAACAAATACCATTATAGGAAGGGGAATGAAATTCTTATTTCGGTTCAAACAATCAATTCAGATAACAATGTCTGCTGATAATTTATTATTTTGTTTACCGCTTCAACAAGCATCGACCGTGAAGAGAGAAAGCTCGTCCCGCGAAAGCTCTCCGGATTTATGGGGTTGTTGTGCAGAAGCGCGCTTTGATGTGTAATTAAATTTGTCAACGATTTATCGGGGTAATTGACAGTAAATCGTAATAAAATAAGACCACAGACGTCTCGGTTCAAGAGGAACTTATACAACTACTATTATAATAGGGAGAGACTAAACGGTTTATTGCTTAGACTATTCAACTATTGTCGACTACTAACTATTCCGTACGAGTTCATGGTCGTTATTCTGGGTCTACGAAAACAACTTTGTTGCCGACACGAAAGTTGGAATTTCCTTGTAAAATCGATCGATACTTGTTGAAGCACCAAACGCAGTGTATACGATCATAAATTCTTACGAGAATCGATAATCTGTAACTAATAAAGGATTCCTTTTGTGTTCGGCACCCCTTTTGTCTACCCCGCACACCCGACTAGTTCCCATTTTCATCGTCAGCACACATTTTTAATGCTATTCTTTCTCCCCTAAAATAGATCAATTGTTATTTATAACAATACGTTGTTGCTCGGCAGCGCTTTTTTCGTGTGTGGAGAGGGTCGCACAGGGAATATTTATGTGTGCCATTAATAGGAATTGCAGCTTTCAACGAGGGCTGTTAACGTGTTTTATTATTATGATTTATAAAATAACGATTTAATATTTCAATGACGTGATGTTTGCTCAACGAGACTACGGAAACAAATTGCTTTTGTTTCATTTATGATGTTTTCGATGTAATTTATTGTCAACTGTACGTCACAGCCAAATTTTAATATTTAGTTAATTGAATTCCTCGTAATGGACCAACAATCAATTTTCATAGATTATTTACCATCATAATAGGAACAAATCATAAAGGTATATTTATTAATAATTAATTGAAATCCATAATGACAGAATTCAAATAGCAATTTTGAGTTGTCAATTTAGCTGTTTCAAAAGTAGCATGCCATAATAATATAAAACGTGTAATTCTATATTGCTATTAAATTTATTATTTCTTGGAGCAGTTTTACAGAGATGATATCTCATGATTTCTACTATTCGAAATTTAGTAATACCAAGTAAGAAATTATTTAAATCCTCAATATCTATCAGACAAATTTCATCTAGTATAAGTTTTGTTTTTATTTGATTCCACGTGCATACAATGTCTTTAGATGCTTTTAGGCGCAGCTATTCCCATTCTTTTTTGACCGGCTCTATGAAGAACCGAATATTGTACAATCCATCAAAATCAATAGATGAACGTGGCTCGGCCACCTAGATGGATGACAGGGAACTCCTAAAGCAAATGTTCCGCCAAACAGTTTTTGGAACCCTCAAAAAAGGCAGGCTTAGAAGCAGATAAGGAGGACTAGGTGGAAAAAAGTCTAAAAATGCTAGGAGTTAGAAAGTGGAACGCCAAGGCACGAGATAGAACAGAGTGGAAGCTGATCCTAGAACAGGCCAAGGCCCACCAGGGGTTGTGGTGCCAATGATGATGATGTGATGTACTTTTAAAATGATTTTTTTCGATATTTATTTTATTATTGATATTTTATCTTAGTCTACTTACTTATAAGAGGCATATAAAGATTTTCAGACTAGAACACACACCAACACCATCTTTTTCTGACGAATTTTCTGATTGATGAATTTGATGAACGATAATGTTAATGAACTTACTATAAGGGTGTCCGGCATAGTAATCGACCCATATTTCAGCAGTATATTAGCATGTGTTCAATTTAATCATAACAATAAAATTTATAATAAACCCCAATAAAATTGTAAAGTATCGGTTTCATCGTCACGAAATTGAATGTATAATCTCAAACTTAATTATACAATCGCTGTTCAAAATGGTATATTTGAATTACGAAGATATGGTTGTCAAAGTTTGTTTTGGAATCTTTAGACTGTATTATTAATTACAGATTTTAGATCTTAGATTACTACACTATTACTATTTACTTAACTGATTTAGAACTATATTTCGCACACAATTTTTGTTGGATACTTTTGAATAACCTTGTTTACACATATAAATTTCAGTTAAGTACGATTGTCACAAATTGTTAATTATGCTGATATTGTGGAACAATACAAAGACAATACATCTAATCAGCATATACATCTCCTAATATTCACATAACTCAGAGAAATGTATTTACCTGTTTAGTCAGCTTATATCCCCCATAAGCTAACACATCAGCTAATTGTGGTCTACTCATCGTAGTATTAACAAGGAATCAATACCCGCAGCAATACAGTCGGAGATATAAGTATAGTTTGAATGCATAGATACACATTTCTGTTTGTTTACTTTAATTTAATTACTTACCATGTTTAATTAATACAACAAAAAATTAATGAAGGGAATGAATAAAAACTATCGTATAATTCTATTTTTTCTATACTATTTATTATGAAAATATATAATACAAAACTTACTATGTTATCGTTACATAAATAATGTGGTCAATATTACTGGACTGTAAAGTGTTAGAGGTCTGCAAGCACTGCATCGTCCAAAGTTTAAGAGGCGCCACGACGGTGGCGTCGCGCCGTCTATACGCTTTGGCAAGGCTGCTACTAGGCGCTTTATCGTCACCCTAGAGCGCTATTTCGTTGGATTAATTTATTATTTACTTTTACAATGTCTCAAATATCGTCGTTCGCAATAATATTTTTTTTTCTCGACAGGTTTTTTCTCCATCTAATAATTTAATATTCATTTTGTCTCCTAACGTAATCAATAATAATAATAATCGTAATGTTTCATTAATATTAGTAATAATAATAATAATAATATAATAGCTCTAGATAAATATTCATATATATACGTGTATAATATATATATGGTATTGCTTTGATTATAATTTGTTAAATATATATATGTAATATATTTTTGTGAATGTATAATCTACTGCTGACTATATTGCTATTATAATATATATTATATAATCTTTTAGTTCTTTATATTTTTTTTTCTTTAAAATTTTTAGGCAGGCATCTAAAAGAGAACAGATCCGCAACGACATTTCTGTGCTTTCTGATGATGATTTTAGATTTTATTGACTTTTTGAAATAATTGAACATATTCATAATTTGACAATGGGTTGCACACGAAATGTCCTCGCTAAAATTCCCTTTCGTTGTTATTATTAATTTATTTGGTTTCTTTTTTTTTTTTTGGGCCATTCCACGTGTAATCACTGTACATTTTATTTAAAATAAATTAAGAACAATTTTTATTTTTCGTTTACATTTATTGCACTTAAAAATAATAATTATTCCTAATTGTTTTTCTTTAGTACTCACTTACTTATAAATATTAATACATTTTTAATCTTTTTTTAGTTTTCAAAAGTTCCACAAGAATAGCCCATATCTAAAAACCTTAATCTAAAATATGTATATAGTTATAATAATATAATTTTTATTTTTTTTTGTTTCTTACAATTTACTTCGTTAACTTCTATATTGCTATATGTTTCCGGGTGGTGCGTCATCCACGAACTTATTATATATTTTGTTATCAGTGGACTCCGTAACCACCTTCTACGGTGTTTTATTGCTTCTGAATACCCGACATTCCCGAGTCGGATCTCGCTCGGATCGAACCCGCGGACTTAAACTGTCCCCATGTCATCAATAACGCCAACATTTTTTTTTGTACCGAAAATGCTACAACAGATTCGTATAATCTACGAGGAATAACACCGAGATTGTCCGCCTTTGAGGCGCGAATATTGCGATATTGCTTTCGGAATGTAAAGTTGTTGCCCAACGGCGAGGCAGAGCAGCCCCCATTAGGCTTATTGCTTTTTCAAGAGTTCGCCTTCGCACCCTTTTCTCGACTTCCTTTTGTAATTTCGTTTCACGTTCTCCGCGAAATTTTTCGGTTTGACGACTTTCGAAAGTTTTTGACAGCCATCCTCCTATAATATCCTACGAGTTATTCTCGAACTTTAAATTTGAGGGTAGAAATATTTTTTTGTTATTGCTTCGCGATTTATTATTGCTTGTTTCTTTTTAGATTTTCGGTATGAATATACATTAAACATTAATGTTATGTTTCCTACAAATGTTTTGTTGGATAGAGAAGTTTTTATATCAAGAACTTCATTCTTGTACAATGAGGGAAATTTTGTTTTGATATTGAAACCCGATAACCATCATTTTTTTGTGTTTATTAAGTGGTTGGAGTATGTTATAGCCTATATTAGTGAACAGTTACACGTATGTACCCTTGAAACTGGTAAATTAATCTGGATCGGATGTTAAACAAACGTTAATTACTGTGAATCATGTTTACAAACTTTATCCCGCAATGTTTACGTTATTTATTGATAATTTCCAAAACAACTAATTTTTAAGGTTTTAAAAATTGTAATTTGTTATTAATTAACCACAAGAAATCTGGCACTTTTACAAAGATACTTCCAGCAATAAGTTGTAATAAGATGTGTTGAAGTAATCTTTATGATTATGCTTAGTTGCCTCGAAAGTACATCATGTATTCTAAAATAACTATATGTTTTCATTATTACTTATAGCAGTTAGAACAGTTGCAAAATAGATGAGCAGACCTAGATATGTAGCTAATAGATATATGGCTAGCTCTAAACTTTAATTTCCAAATCTTCCCTTTTAGAATTTTTTACAATAAGTTCGGTGTTTGATGTATATCTTCGCCAATAGGTACTTATCAATATGACAAAGTATGACAAATTCATAACTTTCGTTTCTAAAAATTTCTGACATTAAATACTGTTATTATCCGTTTCACCAATTCATTGTTTCTTACTTTTTTTCTACTTCTAGATGCCATATTTCTGTAAAAGTAGAGTATCGTATGACACAAGATTTCCAAGGTTATTTGCCTAAATATTATATAAGAAATGGTTTAACATGTTCTCATGAAATGTATTGATGAATGTGATGATAGAGGATCTTGGAACTGTTTTCAAATTCGTCTTGTGCAGGGTAAAGGAGCAGATTTGATAAATACGGTTTAAAAACTTGTGAAAAAGTGATGTACATTAATAAGACTAAATGTAAATTTAGCCAAAAGTACGCTACTCAAGTGCAGTTTATATGCACTATGTCACTGAAACTAACTGTATGATGAAACAAAGTATTACAGTGTATGACTCAAATAGAAATGGAAAAACTTTAAGTGGCTATTCATCTAGGACATCACCCTCTAGATATTCTGATCAAGGAAGAAGCTAGTTTAGATTGCGGTTGATTCCATTATGGCAATAAAAAGTTCGGGAGAATTTTCCATTACCTCGACAAAATCTAATTTTTCTTATTTTCCGTTTCAATTTGTGTATAGAAACCTCTATAGAATTCTCCTAATGAACATCCAAACCATGAATCCGTCACCCAAAAGTGGAACTTTAAGTGCAGCGTTGCTTAGGAGCGTGGCAAGCTTTGTATCATAAGAGCAACAACATCGACTAGGATTGCACAATGTTTACTTTCAATCATGTACTAACGAAATAGAATTTTGAATAAGAAAACTTCCAGAGTATCATGATCTTATTTTTAAATGCTGCAAAACCAGCGAAATGTTTTTTCGAAATATTAATGTTTCTATATTACCAACTTGCACAGCTTTCCTCCCAATAAAAAAAAAGCATTAAGATTAGTTTGATTGAGTGAGTTAGGTTGGATTTCCTCATTTCATTACAATATGTTGGATTTCTTTGCGTTGATAATTTATCCATACCAAAGTATAATCTCTAGCAAGATTTTCTATAACCACGACTTTTAGTTAGTATTTTAATGTATAGAATTTTGAGAATTTCTACGTTATTATTACACTCACCAGCGTAATTCCTAAAACCATAATCCGATATACAGATGGTTCAAATAGGGATATAAATCTAAGATTGGGAATAACAACAACAATGCTACAAAGTGAAATTTATGCAATAAAACTTCGTTTATTGTTAACATTTTTGGAGTAAATCTAAAAATCTAGAAGAGAAAACAATCTCTCTAGTTCTTAATGTAATAAATTGAATTCTATATTTATTTGGACAACATTAAACTTGGTGAAACAGGACAGCCACAATAAAGCTACTGTGATACGGATACAAGGTCACACAGACATCAATGATAAAGCTGACAAAGTGGCAAGGAAGGTTCGCCGGCGGTTTATGTGAACACACGGAATGAAATAAAATTCGAAAGTGTATGGAAGAAAATACAGTCGACGTTGGACTGTACTGGGAACGAAACTATTTGTAGACATCTTATTTTTATTCGTATCTTATTCATCTTATTCGTATCCTGAAGGAAAACAAATGTAGGGCAGCGTAACCCAAAGGAATTATTGAATGAGGTTTCATTCATTTCATATTGGTCTTTATTAAGAAAAAAAAGTTATTTGTTATTCCAATACGTCGTTGTTATCCATAAATTATCGATTAATCGGTTTCCGGCATTTACTCATTTCCTAGTAGTCTACAAAAAATAATGTTGATTAAATCATTATCAAAGACCGATGACATTTTTTAATAGTTGATTAATAAAAGTTAAAAGTATTCAATATTGCAATATTAATATATCGTTTTGATACGAACATTGGTTTGAATCAATTTCATTGATTTATGTTCCATAACACACACTATTTTTAAGATTCCATTGGGTTTCAAAAAATGGTTTTAATCTTGTAACTGTTTTTAAGTAGAGAGAATTTCGCTGAATAGAAAAGGTCGAGACTGAAGTATTTTGTCCCAATTAAGCTGTTGCCCATAAAAGCGAATTATATACAAAGTCAAACAAAATCTCTTTGTAGAACATTTTTTATGTGAAGTCGTAATACTGTAATAAGGGATGGCAAGTCAATTTTATGAAACAAATCCAAAAGATGCGATTTTATCGTTCCAAATTCGAATCTTGTCTATTGACTAAATCCTAAATCATTCTGGAATGTATTGTGCCAGAATGTTTCATTATTCGCCCTGTTTTTCTAAGAGTACGATTTCCAGAATGGTATTTATACTAAAAATTGAAATATAGATACACATAGATAGCTGGGAGAATTCCTCAACCTTTTTGTCCGTTGAATATTTATCAATAAAACAACGGTTCATGAACAAAGAACTGGCCTCTATTACCTGTTAAGCTTTATGTAAATTACATCGAAGACTTTGCGACTTTTTGAAGAACCTAAATATTTATCTTTCCCCATCTAGAAAAGTTGAATATGGTTCATACACCAAAACTAATCATAATTGTTTAAGACACACAAGCATTAAATGCGACTATAAAGCATTTTCATTCACTTCATTACATTATGCAATGATAAAATTGAGCACTTAATAAAGCACTTAACCCAGGTCAGCAACATCAAACATTTGATGACACTCTATTTTCGGTTATATTTCTACCACATAGGTGCCATTAATCGTGCTTTTAAATGGAAAATAGATTCAATTAACTATTACAACATTTTCTATTGATGCCAAACATCAATGCTATGCAGTAGAGTCCTATATTGAATGTAGGGCTTAGTATACATTAAGTTACAAACAGTTTCTCTTGGGAAAGCAGTTAAGGGAGTATTGGAAAATTACAGCTCGAGAATGATGATGCTGTATCTGTTATAGATCAAGAAGATTCTGTTTGCCATCATTACACTTCACGTTTAAGTAAATTACAAGAAGAAGAAAAATAATGAAGAGAAAAATCGGCCGAAGACGAATATTATGACACCAACATGCTGTTAAGGATTTTCAAATGCAAAAAAATAGCTGTAAAGAATACCAACATTGCTGGTATTATAGATAGATAGTAGATATTCCCTGCCGGTTTTTTAACTATTTTAACTGCTGTTAACATGTGATATTGTATATGTGTCTAGCAAAAATGACGTATCTTAAGCCGTACTGGAACTGAAAGCATTAATTTAGTCACATAGCAAGTACAAATGTAAATATGAATTAAACCCCATTTATTGTTAGCCCTAATCTTTTTGTATTTACTCATTAGACACAATATAATGAAGTCCACTACATAATTGTATAGTGAGAAGTCACTATAGTTAATAGACTGGATGTTTCTTCCTGGATTTAAAAGGACGATAAGGGTGATTGGCTATCAATGCCATTTGCATGAAAGAATATAGCTACAAACTGCCGCTAATTTTGACAGAAAAGAAAGTGAAGTTGGACCATAACTTGCTTCACTCGTAAATATTACCTGCTTATGAGTTAGGTGGATTAAAATAATAAAGTAAAGTCCTGGTTATTGCACAATTGGTTTTAACGTGAAAACGGAATTTCGTACTGAAATTACAAATAGGCTGTGTCATATCAAACAAGTTCAACATACCTACTTAGTATGCAAGTTTGAAGTGGTATTAAATCTGAATAAAATTAATAACTGTTTTAGAATTTTTCACAACATATGAATGATTTGACCCAAAGTTAATCAAGACAGTGCAGTTTACTTTATAAATTAAGTAGAGCTCCTACATTGAGCATTATCATTACATTGCTCTGCAATAACCACTCTTAGCTTAATGAGACAACATTATATATTCCTCATGACAAAATTAGTCAAGGTCGCTTGAGGCCGAGGATCTACAATAATTGTAGTCCTCGGTAGTAGTAATTAGTACTACTATATCAAAACCAAGCTAGTTAACACAGATTAAAGTACCTTGGATGAAATCTTAATGTAAAGGCTTATAACATAAAGTCAATTACAATATGACTGGACTAGTGTTGGGTTGATATGATATTAATTGCAGAGCTTCAGCCGCAAGCGACCTCGGCTAAACTTAGGACGAAGAATGTTATGACTTTCTTCTTGTTTAAGCCAAGGTCGCTTGTGAGTTGTATGGCATGATTAGTATTGGATTTGTTGCATAAATTACAGAAATATATTATATAGTATAATTTTGTCTAATTAAGTCATGTCGCTTGCAGCTGTTGTGTTAGAATTAGTATCATATCAACATCAAGCTGGTTAGTACCAACCCTTGATCAAGCCCTACATTGAAGTTCTACCTAAATTTGTAAAAATAAATTGTTATGATGAGATTGTTATGATCATGAAAATGTATTAATTTCCAACGTGGAATCGTGTTTAAAATTTCAACAATGTCAACAACTTTTCATCCTTGTATTAATATTATCGAAGAATAATAAATGAAATATCTATAAACATTTATGTATATTCATACCTCTTGATTGACATCAAATTACATCAACACTACGATAAACAACAACTGTTTACGACATGAATATCTAACATTTAACATTTATTTTCAATAGTAAACTTAATAACCTACTTGACTCAATAATTGACTATACTTTACTGACTCAAAACGAATTTGAAAGTTTTTGTAATAATTTGACTTTATTTCTAATTGACATGAATTAAAAACATCTAAACATTTACTTAAATTTTAGATGATTTCGCGGAGATAGCTGTCGAAAGAATAATAATTTCGGGAGAACGTTTTTAAAAATGTTTTAATACGAACATGCTCTGCTTTACTATAGATATTATTGCTTATTTGTTTCGGAGAAGAGAAAGGGTTGTTATCGTTTAACTTCTTACATAAAGCAGTAAGTAGCCACGAGTGTCCCGAGTGTATACCGTTCCCGGGATTTTTGCCAGCAAATCTTTAAATATAAACTATATATAATATTATTTTTATTATATATCGAGGAATAAAACGGAAAAAATATCTTAAGTACGTTTAAGATTAGAGACCTCGCTACTACTGTGCTGCTCTGTACACTTTGCTTCCACACTTTTTTTTTCTGAAACATTCATTGCCTTTACTACTTTGCCTCAACTTCCGTAACGACGCAATAACTAAGCAAAACTAAATAAATATCCAGACAAGAGTTCAATTAGTAAGTTTCGTTGTTAAAAATGCACTTATATGACGTTAACAATATACGCGATCAAAAAGTTATTATTATTTTTTTTGGTTTTCGTGATGTTCGAAGTGGTTTAAGGCACCACAGTTGTCATCACATTCGTTGTATTCTTGCAATTATTTATAATGTTGAATAGAAATTACATGGTCTGCATGTCATTATTTCTTCAAAGAACTCTTGTTCGAATGGTCTTTTTATCTTACGCTCTACTAGCAAAAAACTTAACTGAAGATTCAATGCAACAGAACGACTTACGTAACGTGCTTATTATTTTAATACTTTCTACCGTGACTAGATTCACACTCGCCTATTGCACTAAAACCCTTCGTTTAATACGTCCCTTTGCCTTCTTTCTGTGCCAAATCAATTTCTTTTGGTTCCCTCTAAATTTAATTTCAACGATTTTTTTAAAATATAAAAGTACCTTTTTATCGTTTTCTTTGATTGCAAATATTTTAATATTAGACTTCGCTAATAGTTAATTTTAAAGGAAATCGTTCAAAAGAAATCGTATTTATCATTCTACTCTATACCCGCACTCTCGAAATCATGTACAATTATTAAATAGTTTCAAAACGTCATTTTATACACTACTCTACTAAAATAGTTAAGTAGTTTTTAGTTTATTATTAATATACCTTTGCAAAAATACTGCCAAAACTATGTTTCGTTGAATATCAATCTCTGTGTTTTTTGTCTTTTTTTAGCGGTCTTTTTATAAACACTAGTTAGTTATTCCATTGTTAAACTCTTTTAGTAACTCTAGCGCCGTTACATTACTTAATTTCAAAGGGTTGGTTAATAGCAAATCTTTGAACGTAAAAATAATTGACTAAACTTGGGACTAGGATCAAAATATCTACAAGTTTTTAATTAAATATTGACACGATAATAATTAATCACTTTGTTCAAATCTATGGTACTCAAATTAATTTGAGTTGAAAAGTTATTTTGGTTTAAGAATCAATAAATTCCATTTAATTCAGATAAAAATAAAGATATGGATATGTTGCGGATAGAATGATTGACCTAGATTTTTCACGAAATGTCAATATTTTGATTGGATAAGTCACATGGTATACAAACAAATTTCCTGAGTTATCCTTAAATATAATATAAAGAAAGAATTTGCTTCTTTAACGATTTAAAAAAATTCAATTTTCAAACTCTAATTTTAACCATAATAACCACAAATTCAGGCAATTTCTTAGTATTTATAGCGACTAGGTCGTATAAACATTGTACATTCTATCCACACCATGTAATTTTTACCATAAAATAGAACAAAGTATATAAGATATTTTTAGGTATAATACTTTGGGATTCTTTTAAAACGGAATGTTTAAAACCTCGACTAGAAAACTCGACTAGAACAACGGTTAAATATATTATATCTCAATTTCTCTCAATCTCGAAACATAAATAATAATAGTAATTTAATTATAAATAGAAATCTCACTTAGTTTTCGTTCTTAACTACGTATATATTAGTACTTTATGTATTTCTTAAATTTATTATTTTTTTAATGAATTAACTTGTAGTAATACTATTTTTAAACTTCGTTGTTTTTGAAACGTTGCTTTCAACCCGAATGCGATTCGTATGTACCGCTAAGGGTCGTATTGCTAAAAACCAGTGGGATCGATTTATGCCCCAATTTCTACGATAACTCGTCAACTGAACAACTTTTCTTTAGTATTTCGTGAATGTCAAACTCAAAGAATCTTACGCAGTGGCCGTTTACGACTAATTGTAGTATTATTATGTACATTTTTTTAATGGTGTTCAAATGGGTAGGTAGCGGTATTCGCCTTAGTTCAAGCGTCACGGAGAAAAAAAATCGTTTTACATTTTCATTTCTTTTTTCTTCGCGACGTAACTTTTATTTTTTGTGCCTTAAGACCTACATTGGACTAAGAAGCCCTTTTTCTAAACTTACTGGACGTTTTGCGATGTGTTTTGTAACGAGGGGATTCTTCTTCTTCTTGCTCCTTGGGAGTTGGAGCAGGGGTAGATTTTGCGTTTATTTACAAAGGGGTTCGCTCGGAATAAATCATGGCTAATCTGGAAGCCGTGACTAGGGTTTGAATCGTTCCGCTACGTGTCCTGACTGTCGATAACTCATTTCCTCTGGCAATTGTTATCAGCCCGCGTAGACTTCCTCTGGACCTCCGTTTGGATCGTCCTTCAGGCATGCAGATTCCAAGTGCTTATTCAGATAAGATTTGAGCGCGAACGACTTATGACACCGAGGACATTCGAAATTTTTATCAGCCGAATGCGTTTGCATGTGTGCCCTTAAATTTGAACGATCGGCAAAAGCTTTCCCGCAATGAGCGCATCCATACGGCTTTTCGCCGGTGTGTGATCTTAAATGACCTTGAAGTAACCACGGTCTACTAAATTGTTTTCCACAAACCGAACATCTATGCGCTAATTTATGTGTTAACACATGCATTGCCAGAGCTGGCATACTAACATAAGCCTTTCCACATGTTATACACTTTTTAGCCGATTGAGAATCTAAACTTCGATGAGTTTGTTTATGTCTTGATAAATTACTCGAAGTGGCGTATTGTTTTCCGCAATCGCTACAAGTGTATTTCGGTTTCTCGTTGATCACTGGTTTCACAATAACTTCTTCTGGAGGAGTTTTCTTTTTTGATCGACCATCGCTCACGAAAAAAGCTTCGTATGTGTACGCAACGGTTTTGGAAGGCTTAGGTTGGATGACATTAGGTGATGTATTCTCAATAATATCTCTCCTTTCTTGCAGGTGCTCAACAGGAACTATTTGGGTTGGCTGTGGGGGTGGTGGCATGAAAACGGTCGTCGACGCGCTCAAATCCAAAATGGCATGAGCCGCATGGAGGTCCTCTTCGGCAGGTACACGTATTTGCGGAATCGCCGGTAACGATGACGGTTTATCGTCAAGGTACGGTCGGTAGATATCTTTCTTTTTCGGTGGAAGCGATAGGGCCGCCCCCGTACTTGTAAAACACATCGAAAGCGATTTCCGGCCGCGATTGTGATTTGGCGGCGGTTGATTTTCCGTTTGGCCTCCATAATCCGGCCTAAGATCTTGCGTTTCGACCACTGTCCTTAGTGTTACGTAAGATGGTTCGTGCGTTTGACTTGATAACGGTTGCTCGACACGAGTTATGAAAGTAGGAGTGTAGTTTGTAGGAGATAATTCTTGAAGATAGCCTGAAACAACAATGAAAAAGTTTGTAATAAAAAATGTTAAGGAGTAAAAACAAAAAATGTTTCAAATATAAATATGGACTTTTAGCTTTTTTACGTATATCATTTGAAGGTAAAATTCTTTATGTTGTCTAACGGACATAAAATCGTGAAAGGAAATTAGCGAAAATAACCCATAATGGCGCAAAATACTTGACTCGCGTGACTGAATCGTCAGTATAGCGCATGCATTGAAAACGTAAACGGGTCGTAATTCCGAAATACCTGATGATTATCCCACAGTAGCGGTCGAACAAACAGCATAATAAATTTAAAGAATATTGCTGGCTATTAGGTTTAACACTATTACGCACGTTTCAGGCGTGACCGAACACGTCGATCGTCGAGCCGCACGTCCGTTGCGTTTGATTGAATCGATGTTTGGTACACGCTTGATTGTCTTCATTACAACGTCGTTAGGGCGAGCTTTACTGTGGCTGCCGCAATCAGTCGATTTATTAGAGTCGTGAACGCGCCAGGAATGGAGGGCCATAAAGTTTCGGAGCGTTATGGTGAAGTATATAGACGCATTATTCGATTTCCGATGACAGGTGTTGACGTGCACGCTCCTCGTATTAATTAATGCGCACCCTATTATATCCGCGTTATGATCCCCGATTGTAATCACTCGAGGAGCGAGGATTATTAGCATAAAGTTAAATTGGAATATAACGGCTCAATTGATGTTTATCAATTATTTCCTATTTCCGTAAATTAATTAAAAGTAAATGTGTTACGTAATTTTTTAAAAGTGTTAAATATAATTTTTCAACCTAATTCAATAATGCGTTTTCTAAACTTCACTCAAAAATTTGTAGAAAAAGTTAATATCAAAGATGTTCTAGATTTTATTTGATATGATGATGTGTGCCAAAACAAATCGAGATGCGTTTACAAATTAACAATCAACTTTCTCCCATTTAGTCTATTTTCTTATGATATTCATGTAAAAGCTTTGAACATTTAAGTGTTCTTCTAAGCTTCGTCTATTTTTTTCCTTCTCGTCGCTATCGTATCGCGTTTATAGCTGGCTATGAGTGCAATTCGTACTCAATGAAAATACATGCTACAGTATTGACGATTATTATTCTGATCCTGAGACTCATTTGCGTGTGTTACTTGAAGCTTAATTTCGCGTATAGCATAAAGCCGAGAGATTCTGTTTTCTTTCAATTCTGTTTTGATTCGGTTAATATCGATTCTGTTTTTCTTTTGCGTTGTCTTTCCTATGCGGTTTTCTCTCTCGAACTCTATTCTGACATTCTCCCAACATGGTCTCTCTATTGTTTGGGTCTACCTCGCGTCCATCTGACTATGTCCTGTAACCTTACGTTTTTTTCCATATCTTTGCTCCTAATATGGTTTAGCAAAGATTTGCTCGATGAGTTTTAACCTTTATGATTCTTTTTGGTTGATTTGGGTTTTCTCCATTGCTTCAATGACGTATATCGTCACCACTTTTATGTTTGTAAATATTTGTTCGTCTATCTTACCTCCCGAAGACATACCGATACCACCGTTGCTCTTGTGGTTTATGTTCTGATTTCTACATTCGGGTCGCTATAGCTAATGATATTTACTACGAGATATTTCAACCTGATCTGGTATACGATTGTATACCACTAGATTATACCTGCTTCGTTCTTTGGCTGTTGTTAAGAACTGCGTTTTCTATACTGAGCTTTCCATATTCAGACATTAAGGCTGCATCGTCTGCGTGGCATATGATTCATATATTTCTTTCGCCCAATCTGTACCTCCTTCGACCACGCATCGGTTCTTCAATTATTTCATTCATCACTAAACCAGGCTAAGGCAATATTCCTGCCTCATTCTCGCAATTACAATTGATATACCTTTTTTGAGTCCCTTCTTTCTCACTTACAAGTACCACAACATTCATTTCATTAATATGCGTGGCCCTATCATAAGCCTATTTAAGATCTTTGAAGTACATAAAAGCTGTCTTATCGAACTGTATGCCATTCTCAGTTATTTGTTGAATAACGAAAATTTCGTCTACCGTTTTTTCTGAATCCCTGTTGTTGTTTGCAGATCCCAATTGCTGTTGCTTCTTCTGATAGTATTCTGAACTTGCATTGAGATGATATCTATATATATTTTTAATTTCTGAATTGTTTATTTCATTTTTCCTTTCTAGAAGGTGAATCCCGGATGAGCCCAACGTTTTTCTATATCACCCATCAAAGTTACATTTGATATTCTCATTAATATTGTGTGCATGAGTGTTTTATTCTGAATCCAAATTAATAACCAGAAATCAGTTCCCTTTAATCTTTTGGTTTTTTAACCTTGTGTAAATCGTCCGTTCGATTGTATTGTGGAATTGCTTTTGGATTTCCTTTTTTTTTTTGTAGATCATCATAGTTTGTGAGATCCTCCAATTGTCGGGTAAACACAGTTTTGAAAAATATAGCTCTAAGTTCAGAAAAGTGAAATTCATGTTTGTTGTTTATAAGAACTTGTCCTAATTTTTTCCCAGTTTTAAATACTTAATGATAAGTGAAAAGAAACAGAAATGTAAGTTTGTTGATTAGAGTGGGGGTTGGGTTGAATTTGGTTGGCAATAAACTTGTTAATCAAACTCTTGGAGACTGTGATAAATTTCCTGCATGTCTTTCAGATATAGCCACAATTAAAACATTCTGAGTCTGTTAAAAAGAAATCTGAAGGTGGTGAGTTGATGTTTATTGCAGTTATGTGATCTTTATAGGATAATAGTTCGTGGCAGTGTCTTTTCTGTAAATGTTAAAAGGGTAAATTATTGTATGTTGTGATGTTTCTTTCAATCTCTAGGTCGAGCTAATTGAGCTTATAATTATTTTCCATTTCACTTATGAATTTTAAATTGCACAAGTTATTAATAATGTTTTCAAGGGCTGAGAGTTTTGCATTATTTCCATCATAAATCATAAAAATGTAATAAAATTTTATATTTATGTTAAAAAGAGTCATTTGTATTTTAACTAGCCATCTTCTTATTTATATTACTATTGTTATGTCTAAGACAGATCATATTATTGGCGCTGCTACTATTTCACTTATCATCATTGCTCTGCTATTTCGATCAGTGTGTTTTGAGTCTATGTTTTGAAATTATGATTGTCGTTTGTATTAAAAATTACTTTCCACTTTTTCATTTCTCTTCTTCAAGATCTTTTTTGTGTTCGATTCTGGTTGTACACCATTGAACATGCGATACTTTTCTCCAATTGTTTTTATGAAATCGTTACAATAAACCTCATTTTTTCGACAACCTTTTGAATTGCATCAAGATATATAAAGTGATTATTAATAGCATAAATACATGTAATACCAAAAACCAGATAACATTCCATTAACGTCAAATACGCAGTATTATAATTTTTCCATGTCATCTCAACTGTGAGTATAGGAGATCCTAGATAAGTGACATTTCATCGTCTCTCATCACATCTACTTAAATTATTTTACCATGTACCAAAAGTTGTAGATACTCAAACTCAGGCAATTTCTATAGAAAGAGAACAACATATTTTCTCAGAAATGTAGGCTACTATGCCTTTTAGATACAAGTTTATAATCTGGTTCAATCTCGATCACACTTTCGCAAAACTTCTTACTCATTGACACGGTGATCAGAAGAAGTGGACATTAAATCGTTCGGGGAATTCTAGCAAATGATGTGTTCACGTACTAAACACTTTAAAGATAGTAATTGTTTTTGCTTCAGCACTGAAACCAGATTACCCTTTGGTTTATCCTTACCAGATGCTGTGGTGAGAGTGAGCGTAGCAGGAAACGTTTTTGTGATAAATTTTCTAATTACAACATTGGTTCTTCAACTCAAACCACATGAACCAAACACATAAATTTCAAAATAAATTAGGGTTAGCTAAAGTATTGATAATTTAAATATCCAAATTCGTTCAATGGCCGAAATTGTTATTTGAGAAGTAAACAAGTATAAGTATGGTCATATAATAATAATTTAGAGGAAAATGTAACAAATTCGTAAATTTAGCTATAAAGTGATAAAATCAACAAGTTTCAAATTAAACCATTTAAAACTAAAAACGCCAAAGTTTAAATATGATAAATCATTCATGCATTAAATGCCATTCATTTTATTGTTAATTCGTCAAATTATGACGAATTCGCACTAATGTATTAATTAGCGGTTGCATTTACACGTCAATTAACCGGCATTATCCACTCGCAACTCCATAGGCATCCTTTATTATTTATCACGTTCGCACTATATCAAGTAACAAACGACGATTATAACAAACCATTTTTCAACGTCGGTTATCTTCATTAGCATATAACAGCGCAGATAAACAGCTAATCAAAGGGTGGCGCTGCGTGGGGCGTCGTGGGCCGTCGTGACGCCGACGCCGCGCCGGTGTAAATTTCGCTGAATATTATTAGCGGACAGGAGTGGCTTACTACTCGTAATTCGCGCACACGCGTTCAAAGGGCCCGATGCAATGTGTACGTGTGTTATATGCCTGTGTGTATGTATGGAACGTGTGTAGTTTGTGCCGGTCAGGACGGCCGCCGTTGTACGTGTAATGGCGTGATTTATGTTTGACGGCATTCGGATTTAATTGGTACTGTCACGGGGAGAATTTATGTATGGGCCGCGTTTAATTCGGGCCGACGGGTACTCAGGAATTAATTGAAGGGCGCAGGGCAAAGCGACAGCGACGGCAGACGCCCGTACGAACCAGTCCGAGTTTTTTTTTTCAATGTTTTTTTTAGTTTTTGGAAACGACGCCGAAATGAAGTGACGCTAGATGACTGGTGTTGCGCAGTTTGCCACTGGGAATTTGTCGACGTCACCAAATGACGCCGTTTTGCCACGGGTGCATATAGGGACGGCAACGAGAATAAATTTTAATACGGTATCGCGCGATGAGGGTCGATTAATCTTCGGTGGAGCAAACGTGTACATTTCGTGT